TACTTTCTAAACGAACCGTAAAGGAATACTATGAATCCTAAACTTAAGCTCTAATCAAGAGAAAACGCTATGCGGAAGTCTTAATATGAAACATCCTAGAGACACTTGAACCTGGAATGCTCTGATACCAACTATGATACCCCTCGGATCCGAGACACGGGTTGATCAGGCCCAGGCCCAAACGCGAGGGAAAAATATCAAAGAATTAATACTTTAATAAACACAGAATACAAATTGAAATAATAAGAAATAAATAATAAATGGCTGGAAAGAACTCTAATTGAAAAATCCTCAAAGTATAATCATTAAAATCAATTAATCCAAAACCTCCAATTATTTAACAACTCGGGAATCCATCTAGAGGACCCCTAATAAAAATCCCAACTGTAAAATACAATAACTGTAATCAAAATCCAAACTAGTAAGGAAGCAGTCCTACGTAGTCGGTGGAATGGAAGACTGTATCTGCTCTGCACAATCAAGCTCTAACCCTGGAACTGACGAGCACCTAGAAAATAAAAGAGTGGGTCAGGCCCACATGCAAGTCCTATTCTACTACGATCCAAACAAGAATTTGATACGCAGATACATCCTAGATAGACTCAATAATATCTAGAGTAGTCCATATATGTATTTAATACACACTATAGGACGCTCACTAGTCTAATAGGTCTGTCTCAGCCTGAGCAGAGATACCATGAAAATCGCACATTACCTGGTCATGTGTACCTAGACCTACCAGGGAATAGCACTACTGTCCAGCTATCCATCTTAAGCGTTATACGCACCCTAACCATGGTCATGAGACTCAAGCTCATACCATAGTACCATAACATAAATATATAAAGTCCGTTCCAAGTGTGTCATTCAAAAGGTTTATTAACCTGACACCTAATTATAAATAGGACTTAACTTTTGTAGTTAATCCATCTTATTTCAATATAGGTAGGACCTAGTGTTTGAACTAATCCATCCCCAATATAGGTAGCTCTCAGTAGCACATAGACAGCCTTAGAAAAATCTAGTTTAACCAAACAGACCTCAATTTATCAGTTTTACGTATTAAAGGAGAAAGAGAAGGCTCTGAAAACAAAAGAGCCTTCTCCACATCAAGGAGAGCCTCTCCATCTCAAGGAGAGCCTTCTCCACTTCAAGGAAAGAGTCTGTTCTTTTGTTGTCTTCTCCAACTCCGGTGGTTTCCAGTCTTTGAATTCAGTTTTATTACACATTTTAAAGTCCCATCCTCATCCCAGATTGATCACAAGACAGAGTTATACAACTAAGAATTTAATTACACATCAATGTTTAAAGCAAACAACAGCTATATTTAAACTGAACTTGTAACAACAAAGCAACAAATTTAATTCAATGATGCTAGAAATTGATTTAACATGCATAAACGATGTAATTAAAACTTAGTTTAATTCCTGGAGTCTAACTAAGCATGCACGGAACACAGATTCATGGGAAAGAGAAGAACAGAGACTTGCCTTCGAGACTTTAGTTTAAAATCTCTAACTGTCGTCTCTATCAACTCCGGCAACGTCGGTTGTGTTTAAACGCCCTCTGCTGCTCCTAGTTTAGTCCAGTAACATACATCAACCTCCCCTCCTTGATTTAGTCTTAGTTGAAGCCCAAAACCCTAACTTCCTCCCTTTATCCCTCTCTGTAACTCTCTGGTTTTTCCACTACGAAAACAGAGGTTCTCTGCTTGTAATTACAGAATTACGGTTTCTACTAAACCCTAAACCACCGTATTAAGTATATTTATAGGTGTATATTAATAACCCTAGTCCATGAATAATTAGACTAAGCCCTAGTCGGCCCATGAAAATAATACTTGAATTACGGTTTCCCTATGGTAGCTTACCTATATGTGAATTATAATCCAAAGTTAACTGTAACCTAAAAAAAAATTCAATAATTAAATCAATGCAGTAATTTAAAATCCAATTAATGAAAATAAAATCCAATTAATGAAAATACATAATTAAAACCCAATTAAATAATTAAATACACTTAAACAATTAATTCCAATTAAATAATTAAAAATAACTCAATTAATTCAATTTTATCACCACAATAAAACAACTAAACAATTAATCAAATAAAAATACAATTAAATCAAAGATTAAGTACCAGAAATATCCTTTTAATATTAGGGGTATTACAATGCATGCACTATCAAAATGAACAACAAATCACGATAATAATATACCAAGCACTTCTCCTCTGCAACAAATCAATCAACAAACCTCCTCAAATATTGATCCCATACTCCCATGCTTTGAACAATATGCAAGAAAAGTAAAATTGCCTCCACGCAGGCTCACAATTTATCTAGGAATTTAAAGACTTGCCTCCACGTGGGCTCACGATTTAATTAGGGAGAAAGTTTAAAAAGCTCACAAAGGGTGCTTAAGCAATTTCAAATTATTTTTCAATTTTTGCTTTGCCTAGTTTTGCAAATTTTTAGATTTTTATGCTTTTGCTTAGCTTTGCTTGGCTTCTTTACTTTTGAATTTCTCTTTGCTTCACTTTCTTGGCTCGATACACCTAGTCAATCAAGAACAAACAGAATAAGTAACCAAAGAAAAATAAAAATAAAAACAGGATCAAAATAGTACTAATTCCTAATTGATTTCCAAAATACGACAGTGCCAATCCCCAGTAACGATGCCAAAACTTGGTGGGGTCAATACCTAGTTGCAATAAAATGTGTAGTGCGGCCAAGTTTAAATTTAAAGAATGCCACTACCACTACTAACTATAAATGTAGCTAGAGTGAGTAGGGATCATCCCAAAGGAAAGGAAGTGTATTTTTGCTTGGAAATCAATGTCGGATTAGTAGGTCGAATGATCAAAGATGGTTTGGGTGGTTAATTAAACTACAATTTAAACTAAATAGAAGCAATACGAAGCAACTAGAGTAAATGAAGTATAAAGAATATAAGAGAAAGGTCTTGGGACTTAGAGTTCACAACTAAGCACCACCTTCCTAGACATTCAATTTTTTATGGATTAAGGGGATTATATGTTGCAAAGGAAAGTGTGTGCCATTAATTGAATTCTCAAGCATGGATGGCCAAGTAAGCATACATTGTCTAGCCAAACTAATGAATAGCACAACATATCAAATTAAGTCATTATTCCTTCCCTTAAGTCCACAGTTAATGCACATCATCAAATTAGAGAAATATACTACTTGCATTCATAAGCATGGAACATCAAACAACAAATATGGATTGTCCTCCTATCTAAGAAAGTAAGGCAACTACACTACAACTAAGCTAGTGACATAAAAATTAAACTAATTAAACTAAGGAGGAAGCGCAATCCATCAAGAAATAAGTATGTACCATCAAACAAACCACAAGAGTAATCTATTTAAGCACCATGCCTTGACCATCATTAAATCGATTCATAGTATCAACACACATAGACATGCATCAATATCACAAAATCCAAAAATAAACACATGAACATTCATCCTAGCATACATAGACATTTGGATAGAATTAAATGATCAATTAAAAGTATTAAACCACACAAATCATTGTAGAAACAAGATTCATATATATATAAGATGTCAATACAAGAATTACAACACAAATCCCCTTTAATTACAAAACATCAAAGTCTAGGAAGCATGCTTAAAGCTATCTCTAGCCCCAAGAGAATGGTTTAGCCACTCATTGATGTTGTCATCCAACCCTCAAGGGCTATCTCCATGGTAGAAATGATCTTCTTCTCCTTGGTGAAAACCCTAGATGAGTGGAAGAACTTTCCCCAAATGGTGTGTATCTCTTTCTTTATCTCTAGACTCCTCCAACGTCTCTGTTGAATATGGTTCCTTTCTAATTGTATCTATGGTTCTTTATCTCCTCTAAATGGCCAAAATCCTTATATAGGTAGCTCAAATATCACACCCAATGGTCAAACCTCATGCACTAGGACCTCGAAATGATTGTACCACGAGCACACCTTTTAATTGGCTGGAACTCTATTTTTCTAGCACTTGAGGAGGTTCGATCGATCACAAGGGTGTTTCGATCGATCGAACTATGGCAGCGCCTTATTAAAATAATGATAAAACTAAGATATTTTCGGGATATTTTGGGAAAAGGACAAAAGTGGTAGGTGGGGATATGATCAAAAATGTTCGATCGATCAAAGGAATGTTGGATCGATCGAAAAGGGAAATTTTCTGAGGATAAAGACAAAAGGCTCGATCCATCTTGGCATGGTTGGAACGATCACTGTGTGATCGATTAGAGCTTGTTTCGATCGATCGAAGAAGGCTGTTTTTCACCACTTTGCTTCCACTTTGCTCCTTTCTTCCACTAAGATTGAGAATGCATCTTTTATGCTCTAATTCAGCTGAATTGATTTATTTTGGGGATAAGTGCCTGAAAAGGGAAATAACATGAAATTAGACTAAAATGGGAAAATAAGATAGAATAAGGTCCTAGAACGTTCAAGCTTAAGGGGTTTAAATGCGCATTTTTCAGCGCTTATCAGGAAATAAGCACCATAACCATAGTGCTCAACGCCAAACCGCCTCCCAAAACCAACAACAACATAATCAGTCGATAATTACTTAGCCGGTCACTCGAGTCACTCTTCTCAAGGCAACATACGCATTCAGTCAAAAAGACTTCACGCACTAGCGTCAACATCATTACCTTTTTCCTCCACCATTCATTAGAATAACCTTGGCCCCAATGTTATTGTGTATGTCATGATGGCTCAAAAATGTTAGGTGTCAAATAATTAGGCCCATTTACAATATCTGACATTATAATCCAATTTGAATCAACTCGAATCCAACAAGGAATTTTTGTCCTGATTTAAAAAGAACTAAAATTACTGTTCCTCTATCATTTATCATCTACACTTTAAATTTTGTATTAAAAAAATTAATAATAATAAATATATATATAAAAGGGAACGAAATGTGTGTCATATTGGAGTCCTTCTCCATAGTTTGGCAGGATAAGGGGAAAAAAAGTTATAATTTTATGTTATTGTGTATGTCATGATGACTCAAAAATGTTGAACAGAACATTCGAGTCTCAAGAAGTATGAACAAAGAACAAAATATTACTTTGGTCAAGACGCGTGGAACTCGTGACAAAAAAAAAAAAATAAAGGGCGAACTACAAATAACCCCCCTTAACTTTCACCTCTTAGCAAATAACCCCCCTCAACTGTCACGAGGGGGGTATTCTAACTAACTTCTGTTCAAGTGATTTTCTAACGAAATTTTGGGACGAAATTACCCCCTCAACATCTTCAACATTCGTGGTGACTGTAAGTCAACATCTTCAACATTCGTGGTGACTGTAAGAGAAGAGATTGCCGAAAAATGGGTGGAGCTTAGTGTCACGAAGTGATTCCTAAGACGCTTGGAGGATGGAAGACACGCATGCTGGTTGGCAAAGAGCAGAGTTTGACTGGGAATGGTTCCAGGGAAGGGGCGTGCAGGAGCACAGGATGGTACCTCTTCAGAGTTCAGGCAGGTCGACTCGGTTCAGTTCGAGGTGCTTGTCGCTAGTCTTGGACTTGACTATGAAGAAGGGAGTTGGCCATCCCTGCACAAACTGGTCGGGAGCTGGAGCCGTTCCCCTGACGAGGCCATGGCAGGCCGAAACCAGTCAGCATGTATCCTCGGGAGGGCAGGTCGTGGTGGCTGACCAGGGCGCTTGCGCGAGCTGAAGCAACGCCTTGGTGCCGCACGGGCCGTGCCGCTGCGCCAAATCTCTAGGCCCGTGACAAATGGTATCAGAGCAGGACTTGGGGTAAAGCACGGTAGGGTGCCCCCTTGTCGGTCCGGGAGGGGTCAGAGAATGAAGACGGTGCATTGAAGTTGCGTCGATGAGAAGGAATCAATGCAGTTCAGGGGGAGAGCCTCCATCTCCCCAGGAAGAAGCGTCCGTTGAAGTTGCGCATTGAAGGGCCGGAGGGCCGCGCGCACCAAAGTTCGTGCTTAGTCCTTGGGTGATGCAAACCATGGTGAAGGGCGAGCATCAAGTCGGCAGAAGGCCATTGCTTGCTCGGGATGTCGCGGAGGCGGCATGACGGAGAAGAGTCACGTCCTTGAGGAGTGGACGTCCCCTTGGTCCGAGGCCTATCATTGGGCGAGTGCAGTGCAGGGAGCTGCACAAGGAAGCGATGGTGGGAAGGCGAGCATACCGCATGGAGGCAGACTTTGGAAGGGAGTGGACGCAGTAGTGAAGCGCCGCACTGCGACGAGGACGTCGCAGGATTTGGGTGGGGGAGAATGTCACGAAGTGATTCCTAAGACGCTTGGAGGATGGAAGACACGCATGCTGGTTGGCAAAGAGCAGAGTTTGACTGGGAATGGTTCCAGGGAAGGGGCGTGCAGGAGCACAGGATGGTACCTCTTCAGAGTTCAGGCAGGTCGACTCGGTTCAGTTCGAGGTGCTTGTCGCTAGTCTTGGACTTGACTATGAAGAAGGGAGTTGGCCATCCCTGCACAAACTGGTCGGGAGCTGGAGCCGTTCCCCTGACGAGGCCATGGCAGGCCGAAACCAGTCAGCATGTATCCTCGGGAGGGCAGGTCGTGGTGGCTGACCAGGGCGCTTGCGCGAGCTGAAGCAACGCCTTGGTGCCGCACGGGCCGTGCCGCTGCGCCAAATCTCTAGGCCCGTGACATTAGGCTATTATTTCTAAACTGCATCGTTGATGCCAACGGCGACCACCAAAACCCAAACCGAAAATCTCAAGTCAAAACCGAAAATTAATCAACAGAGGTCGGCATCCTCCAATGATCAAAGTAACAGAGGCCATCATAACCAAATTTGGACTGTCAATGAAATTCTGAGCAAAGATTCAACGACCGCAGGCCTTCGTTGAAGATCGATGTGGCTCAGCAGAGGTCGTCATACCAAATTTTGGACTTAGCCGAGTTGACTCAGCCATCGACCCTACCTTTGGATACAGAGGAAGAGAGAGTACACTACAGAGGAGTCCAGCGAAGGCCGTGGGGCAAGTACGCGACGGAGATCCGAGATTCGAACTGACGCGGGTCTAGAAATCCCAATATTGTATGGTGACAAACTTTCTAAGGGCAAGAGTGTAGTCGTCATCGAGTCCAACAAGGCCGACATGGACGTCGAGACCTTTTATGACGGTTACTTGGCCGCCATCATGGTCGACGAAGGTGGTGTCGTCGCCGTCGGATCCACTATTGCCCTTCTCGCTGAGAACGAGGAAGAAATAAACGAAGCTAGATTGAAGGCTAGTAATTCGTCTACTTCGTCTTCTCCATCTTCTTCGGCTGAAATTTTAGATTCGTCTCCTCCTCCGCCTTTGTTGTAGAATGACATAAATGTTAAAATGACTGCAACCTGTATACAAGTTCCTGTTATGCTTGCACATGCTGAGAGCATCAACCTTCAATTTGAGAAGCCTCTTGATGAGGTAATGTTATGATATTCTCTACTACTGTATTGCCTTTTAACTTGAAGTTTTAATAGAGTTTGGTTGCTGACAATTTTTGTCGCAAAAACTATTTTCGAAGTATATATATATATATTACTTTGACCAATTTGTTCTTCCAAATGCTTAAAACTTGAGTGGTAGGATGGGACCGGTGACAACATTATTGAAAATATATTTTTCCTTGTGGATTCCTGGCCGGTTTACTATTTGTCTTGTATATTACTTTTGTGCTTTCACTTCACAAGTTCACATGCAACATTTTTGTGATTTTTTTTCAATTTTTCCGTCTATGCATCTGAATTATCCATAATTATGATGGATGATTACACTATAAGGACATGTATGATGAATATGTGTGTATAATTAGAATGACTATGGGAGAAATAAATAAATTCTACAGTTAACTTTGCAAAGGGGTAATCTGGTCTAAAAAATTATCTTAAAAAATAATCAAACAGAGATCAGTCAGAATACCTCCCCTCATGATAGTTGAGGAAGGTTGTTTGCTAAAACATTTCATAAGAGGTGTTTTTTGCAAAGAAATGAAAGTCACCGGTACCTCCCTACCACTCAAGTTTCAAGCAATTGGAAAAACAAACTGGATGGTACCGATGACAACATTATTGAAAATATATTTTTCCTTGTGGATTCTTGGCCGGTTTAATATTTGTCTTGTATATTACTTGTGTGCATTCACTTCACAAGTTCATATGCGACATTTTTGTGATTTTTTTTCAATTTTTCCATCTATGCATTTGAATTATCCATAATTATGATGGATGATTACACTATAAGGACATGTATGATGAATGTGTGTGTATAATTAGAACGACTATGGGAGACAAAAATAAATTCTCCATTTGACTTTGCAGATGGGTAATTTGGTCTAAAAAATTATCTTAAAAAATAATCAAACGGAGAGCGGTTAGAATACCTCCTTTCATGATAGTTAGGGGAAGTTTTTTACTAAAACATTTCATAAGAGGTGTTATTTGCAAAGAAATGAAAGTCAAGAGAGGTTATGTACAGTTTGCCCAATAATAAATGATGCTCCATTTTTTCAATCTTATTATCCACCCAATTCGTGACAAAGAAAGAAATAATAAATGATGCTCCATTTTTTCAATCTTATTATCCACCCAATCCGTGACAAAGAAAGAAATAATAAATGATGCTCCATTTTTTCATCTTCTCCACCCAATTGCAAATGGCGCTCTTCACACAAATATCTGTGAAATGGGGCTTAGACAATGACTGTAGGTCCTACAAGAAATATACTCCACTTCTTTCACCACACTCGTCCATTTCTTTCTTCTAACTGACACATTTCTACTCTACACATAATGTCGCCCCGAATGCTCTAAATACGTTAATAGGTTAATAAGATGGAAAGTTGGGAACACGTCACTGTATCGGGTGGGAACACGTGAATACTGTGGACCTACCATTTCCAACGCACACAAACACATAACATAATATAATATAATATATATATATACCCCTCTTTCGAGATGAACAAGTATAATGAGTCGGAGGGAATAATATAAAACCAAGCATAGAAATAAATATTGATTGCATTCCATTTGTATACTTACTCAATTAACTATAATATATTATTTTAATTTTTTTATTGTCATCTATTTGTATTCTTATTTTGAAGACATACATAAAATTACACATTGATTTAAAGGTAAATTACATTTGCATCCCTTCAGATTAGGTCAAATCTTATTTAGATGAACATTTTGGTTTCAACTTTTACTTCATCTTAAAAAAAAATATGAAATGTGATTTAGGTCCTCACTTATTTAATATATTTTGTTAAAAATATCAAATTCCTTAAAAGACAAAAATACTCCTAATTTTTTCTAACACAACATCTCTCTTACTTTCTCTCTCTAATATGTATATACATATTATGTGTATCTATATATTTCAGTACGTTCTTCATCTCCTCACCCCGCATTACATGGAACTTCACGATCTCATTTCGAAGTTCTACATAACTACTCCGACTCATTCCAGTTCCTCCACATAAATGTGTGCTCAATAGTACTGCATTCATTTTCTCGCTCATCCATTTTTTCTCTCTAGAAATTCTTGGTATTCCTTCCATACACAATTTTTTTTGGGGTGTGGTAGATAGAAATTCTTTCTCATGTATGTTCTGAAAAATGACAGATACACAAATCATGACCGTTGGTAAAGATGAGATGGCAAGGGGATATATAATTGTATTTAATCATTATACTCTGTTCTATTTTTTTTATTATTATTATTATTTACAAAGAGTAATGATAATTATTTTTTATTATCAACATGTATACATAAGCATATTATGCATACATGAATATATATATATATACACACTACATATATTATTATTACTATCTCTTATATCTTATATTTATCATTGAAGTCAAAGTTGAAATTAGTTGGAGATTTTAGATATATCATTGTTAACATAATGCTTCACATTGAAATTTCGTTCTAATTTTTATCAATTAGAGCAATACGAGTTCATCTATTGGATTTACTTGTATGTTGGTGGAGTAGACAGTGGTGGCGGTGAGTCTGGTGACAGAGGGAATTGAGAGATTTGATAGACAGAGAGGAAAGTAGAAAGTAGTTTTAATTTGTTAATGGGCTATGAGCATTTTTGTAACTTAAAGATGGGTTCTAGGAAAAAACTTATTTTTTTTTTAGGTCAACAATATGTCAAAAGGGTAACATAGTCATTTTGTATATAAAAAGTGATCTAACTTGAGGGGTTATCAGTGTAATTTACCACTGATTTAAATAGGAAAAAGTAAAAAAAAAAAAACAAAAACAAAACAAAACAAAACAAAACAAAAAATGAAAGAACTTTGAAATGGAAAAAATTTAGAGTTTGAGATTATTTATTTATTTATTGTTTAAATCAAAGGAGTTTAGAAAGTAAAAATGACAATAATAATAATAATAATAATTTTAATAATTGAAAATTATAATTATTTTTTTTAGGTTAAAGTTAATAATTGAAAATTTAAAAAAGGGCATTAAGTATAATTAATACTAAATATATATATATATATATATATATATAGCCCCATCCATTATATAATTTAGGGGTGGCAAATTATGACACGACACAACAACCCGACACAAACACGACACGAGTTAAAAGGGTTTGAGTTTGGCATAAATGGGTTTGGGTCATAAAAGGGTCAATACAATTAACCCGTTTAGTTAACCGTATCGGGTTAAGGTTGAGGGGTTCAACCCATGTAACATGTTTATAACCTATTTAACTCAACATATTATAATCATGAATATAACCTATGTAATATGTTTCCTATTTAAACTCAATTATTATGGATAGTTAAGTTATTTTAACATAAACCTTGTTTATACCTTATGAATTTTTTTTTTTTTTTCCTTTTGAATATTTGGGTTAATTATGACAATTTTTTTCTATTATTTAGTATTTGATTAAATATTAAATGTCTCGTTTTAATAAACTGGTCATTAAAATGGTTAACACGATTACCTGTTTAATAAGCGGGTTGGGTTAGTGTTGAGATTCTTGACTCGATTATTAAATGGGTTGGGTTTGAATTTACCTATTTAGTATAATATACTTACATCAACACGACACGAACACGACCCACGAACACGAATTGCCACCTCTACTATATATGGATACTACTTTTTCTAATATACATATAGTGGGTGGGGCCAGGGGCAGGTGTGGGATGGAAGTAAATAAGTATTCACTTCTCGGGGCAGGACCTCAGGGGGACTTCGCCTAAGTAGCCTACCTAATAGGTCTTCATTTTTTTTTTTTTTTTTTAATATTATATCCGTCTTAAAATTTTTATTTTCTTTCTATTTTCATACAATAAAAAGGCTTCTAAATTTTTTATTTCCTTATATTATAAATTTTAAATTTTTTTATTTGTTTATATTATTACTTTCCTAAAAATATTATTTCATTCATATTATTAAACTCTGCCCAATAAAAAAATTCCAATTTTTTTTTTTTTTTTTAATTTCCTTATATTATAACTCCTTTAAAATTTTTATTTGTATTTATTATTATACCAGAGATTTAATAAGGACCAAAAGATTTATATCTTTATACCTCTTTTCTCTTTATCTCTCTCAACTTTTCAACACAGGTAACAGAGAGTTACTTTTTTCTCCGAAATTTATAAAACTTTTCAAATTCTTATATTAACTTTTATCTTCTCTGTTTTTTTTTTCTTTTTTTTCTTTCTTATACATTTTTATGATTGCTCTATATTACATATTAAAAGGCCACTTTTATATTTTTTACAGCCTAAGGCTTCAAATTATATCCCGCTCACTCTCAATCATATATTATATTATATATGTATAAATTAGTCATTAAAAAATTATTAAGTATTAGGTAGACAAATTTTGAGAGAATTGACCGTTAACAGTTAACACACTTATTTTCTCTCTAGAATGTTACTTTTCTTTGAAAAAAAAGAGGTAATAAGACTTAGGCTATGTTTGGTACGATGGGTTTGAAGGGAATGAAAACATTAGTTACGAGGAACAAGGAAGAAAAGGGAAGGGAAGGATAATTTTAATTTCGTATTGTGTTTGGTTGATTAATGAAATAAAATAAAAAAATAAAAAAAAAGAGAAGAATAATAATCATGTTTGAAAAAAGAAAGAGAAAGAAAAGAAAGAGAATTATTTTATTAAATTGATTATTATACCTTTTTATATTTTAAAATATATATATATATATATATATATATATATATATATATATATTTTCTCCTAGCAGGCCCACAAGAAAAGAAAAAAAAATAAAAAAATTTAGGGCAAATTATGTCAGCCTCCCCGATCTCGCCTCCATCTCTATTCTCGTTCTCAACACTGGAACTTGCCCTCTCTGTCTCTCTTTCTCTCTCTCTCTCTGCACTACAAGATTCAGAAGTTCAAAACCCATATATTTCAGTTTATCTATCTGTCTACAAGAATCAAAAGTTCAAAACCTATATCAGTATATCATTTCAGATTATTCAGAAAATCAAAACCCATATTTTTCAATTTCCATCGTCGTTGTTCCAGTTTGGGTTCGCCATTCGCAAGCTTCAACCGCTGGCCCGCCGTCTCTCACTCTCTCTGCAACTTCTAACTTGTATGTATATGTAATCTTGAGATTAAAATTGGCATCACAAATATTACATCAACCATTGTCTTCACTTTCTTCCTATTTTCACCCATTTTTGGGAGGATAAAAAAATTACTGTATAAACCTATATATAATCCTCCAAAGCCTTTTCTTTCTTTTTCTTTTCTTCCATCCATTTTAACCAAACACAAATTTTTAATCGCCCTTTATTATCTTTCCTTCTTTTTTTCATTGCACCAAACTGCCCCTCAGGACAAGGCCCAACGGAAAAAGAAATATCGTTTTAAGGTCTATTCAAACACGTGACAACTGACAACAATTCAAAGTAAGAAAAGCTAGACTTTGGTGCATGGATGGGGCCTTGTGGATCGACGGCTGTGATCAGTTATTGTCTTTTGTTGACCGGTCATCTTCCAACCAGTCACACACATTTACTACTAAATTTCCTTTGTTTTTTTATAAAAAATAAACAACATAATTAGGACAAGACCCAACGGAAAAAGAAATATAGTTTTAAGGTTTATTTAAACACGTGACAACTGACAACAATTCAACGTAAGAAAAATAGACTTTGGTGAATGGGTGGGGCCTTGTGGATCGACGGCTGTGATCAATTATTGCCTTTTGTTAACTGGCCATCCAACCAGGCACACACGTTTGGACTGTTTACTACGGAGTACTAGATTTCCTTTTCTTCTTCTTCTTCTTCTTCTTTTTCTTTTTTTTTTTTTTTTTTTTTTTTTTGAAACTTTGTATGTGTTATAAATAAAAAATAAACAACATAATTTGTACACTTCGTCTAAACTTTCTCTATAAATACAGGGCAAATTAATTCTCTCTACATTCACAATCAGAGTCTTTGAACTCTGTTTCTCCATTCTGCACCGAAGAGGCATGGTAACAAGAGCTGCATCTCATTAGAAGTATATCCCCAACAGTGTGAGTCCCTCTCTCCTCTTGCTCTCCCCATGCATGCTTGCATATTTTTTTATAAGTGTATATGTGTGTGTATTTTAATTATGAAAACCGAAAGTAACATACAATATCGTTGACTCTTAGCTAAACAAAAATCTCACCGGACTTAGTTCGGTTGGTATGATTTTTCTTTTTAAAAAGAGACAAGTTATTGAGAGTTCAAGTCGTGTTAAGGATACGTTGATATCTGTTTACTCTAACTTTTTAAAGGAAAAATAAAAATAAATTGAAAGTTGGAGAACAAAAGCCTGTAATTTGAGAAGGCAACACTCCCAAAGATTACAAAAACAAATGATACAACTCTTTACATTTTAGGAAGCATAAAATTAAAATCAAATCAGATTAATAATTGATTTGAATCAATCCAAACCGTATAGTAGCGGTTTCAACTTACATTGGTGTTGGAATTTGGCCCATAACTAGCGTAATATTAAATGAAGCGGAAAGTTTATATGCCTGAGCTCCATTTATTATTTACTACAGTACTATCTCTGTTTTATTTTTTTTTAATATTTATCTTTTTATTTTTGAATGTTCCAAAATAAATACCTCATTTCAAAAATCAAAATATTAATTTTTATTCTATTACTCATTTAACCTTCTTGCATTAAATTTTAAAAAGTAAACATCATGTAAACTCACTCTAAATAATTTAATAATTCATTCCTTATTAATATAATAAGAAAATTATTAAAACTGATCACCATCTTCTTAAAAAATTTGATTTCCTTAAAGGAACATGATAGAAAGAGCATAAACTGATGAAATTCATATCGAGTTGTGGCTCTAATTTGCTTTCCCCCAAGTAAAAGTTGAGGTAAAAGTTGTGATTCAATTTTTGTCGTGTAAGTTTGGATCCGCGCACAACTAAAAAGTGAAGTTCCTCTTATGAAAAGAGTATGACTTCTCTCATTTTTTTAATTTAGATATATTTAATAATTAATTTGACTTTTCACAAATACATTTCATTAATTATTTAAATAATTTGCAATCATTATTTTTATAAATTTTGTAAGTGTGTATATAAAATATAGTATATGATATATGTCAAAAGGCAGTTTTTGTGAGATCCACCCAAACCGTTTTCAAAATGTCAACCTTTGCATTTAATGCAAAGCGCACTCGAGTAAACTGATCATCCCTTAATTGAGTAAATATTGAGTGTGTCTCACGTTATTAATGTACTTTCTTACTGAAACATAATATATTACTTTTTTGTTAGTAATTTTATAAATAAATAGGTTAATTATTATTATTTTTTTAAAAATAAAAATTTAATATTGAACAAGTACATTAATAACATAACATACCCAATACTTATTCTCCCCAATCATCACAAATAAAAATTAAATAATGATATCTTTACCCTCAACTCACCGTTTTGCACTGTGCGACTTAAGTTACAAATAAATATAAAAAGGACACTTTAGTAATTAGGTTATTTCCTTTGTCCGAACAAAGCTAGTTCTACAATATCTGCCTAACAGAGATGGTAAATCTCTAACTGACGAGAGTTATATCCCTAAACATAGTAAATCTCTCTATTTCTTTTTCTCTCTCTGTGTGTATATATATATATATATATATATATATGGATGTGTCTGTAGTAGACTTATGATTCATTTGCCCATTATTTGCTTCTTTGATTAAATTTTCTGAATCTAACAGACTATATGTAAATGATCTGGGATCATTGGTCCCTGTCAATATGTAAATAAAAAGCTAAAAAATTTTTTATACATTTTTAACACACTTTTGACTCAATTACTTACGTGTATAATAGTAATTGCCGGTAGACAATATAATAACTTCTCCAAAAATGTCTGCTTAACCGGTTCATTCATGCTTCATACATTTCTAACATGTATCTAAACGTCTTTCTTGATTCAAAAGCTAAACGTTTACATATTTGAATGTGAAAAATAATGGCATCAACTTAAAGCTAGGAAAGAAAACTAAAAATGCTAAGAGTATCTTGCAGAACTTCAAGGCTAGCTCCACAACAAGTATAAATCTGTGATGCAAAACAATCATACCACTAAGGCAAGTACTGAATTCTCGGGCGCGGCTCAACAATTGATGATGATGGAGTTCTCATTCCTCTCCTTCCCAATTCTTTTCACATTCCTTCTCTTTATGTTCATGCTATTCAAAACCAATATCAGTTCATCTTCAAAACTGCCTCCTGGGCCATGGAAGCTACCCCTAATAGGAAACATTCCCCAATTTATTGGATCTCTACCCCATCGCCGCCTAAGAGATTTGGCCATTAAATATGGACCTCTGATGCACCTACGACTCGGACAACTTTCAATTGTTGTCATTTCTTCAGCAGAATATGCCAAAGAGGTATTGAAAACACATGATATCGTCTTTGCTAGCAGGCCTTTTAATCCCACGGTAAATATCATATTTGAGAATGACATTGTGCTTGCACCTTATGGGAATTACTGGAGACAACTTCGGAAACTTTGCATAATGGAGCTTTTAAGTGTCAGACGTGTCCAATCATTCCGACCCATCAGGGAAGAAGAGACCTCGAATTTGATCAAATCTATTTCAACACATACAGAATCTCTCATCAATCTCAGTGAAAAGCTTTTCTCGATTACATACAGCATCACTGCAACGGCAGCCCTTGGTACGAAATTCCATGGGCAAGAAGAATTCATCTCTCTTATCAGGGAAGCCTTAGAGATAGCAGGAGGTTTCACTTTTGCTGATCTCTTCCCCTCGGTTAAAATGCTTGCTGTGATAACTGGGCTGAGGCCTAGAGCTGAGAAAGTTCATCGAAAACTTGATATGATATTAACTACTGTCATTGAGGAACATAAAGCTAGGCAAATGGCAAAACAGACCGGGGATGGTGAAACTGATAATGAAGACCTGGTAGATGTTCTTCTAAAAGTTCAGGAGGAGGGTAACCTTGAGATCCCTTTAACTACGACAAACATACAGTCAGTTATCTTGGTTAGTACATTTAATTACTTTCTTCTTCTATCAATATCAATTAAGCATTTAATGTGTAATGCGCGCATATTTTCTTTTCTTCTGACTCAGTTTGCTCTTTCAGGACATGTTCAGTGGAGGGATTGAGACATCAGCTACAACTTTAATCTGGGCAATGTCAGAATTGCTGAAAAATCCAAGAGTGATGGAGAAGGCACAAGCTGAGGTGAGACATGTTTCATGTCAAAAAGGACATATCCTGAATGAAGATGACCTCCATGAATTGACTTACTTAAAGTTAGTTATCAAAGAAACTCTGAGATTGCACACTCCTCTTCCTTTTTTAGTTCCAAGAGAGAGTAGGGAGAGATGTGAAATCAATGGATATGAGATACCTGCGAAAACCCAAGTCCTTGTCAATTCATGGGCAATTAGTAGAGATCCTGAAAATTGGCGTGATCCAGAGAGCTTTGTTCCTGAGAGATTCCTTGACAGTTCAATTGATTACAAGGGGACTCATTTTCAATATCTACCATTTGGTGCTGGAAGGAGAGTCTGTCCTGGCATGTCGTTTGGAATGGCTAGTGTTGAGCTTCCACTTGCAAATTTATTGTATCACTTTGACTGGAAACTACCCGAGAGAGAGAAGCAAGAAGATCTAGACATGACTGAGGCCTGTGGTGCAACAATTAGCAAGAAAAGAGATCTATGTGTAATTCCCATTGCTTATACTCCTTCAATTGGTGAATAAGATATTAACACAAGAAGGTAGAAATCATTGGATGGTCATTACTATAGAAAGGTAAATTAAGAGCAGAAGTTATGTGGTCAGCCAGAAATAACTGAATAAAGAGTCGGCTTCACTTATTGTGTTTTTACAGAAAAGTTTTATAGAGTTTTGATCTCAAAAGCTTTGCTCTTTGATTAAGTTCAATAAACCTCTAACTTCATTGTAGGTCCACTTTTGAATCTCATACAAGCCTTTACATTCCACAATGAGCAATGATTCTCTAACTGAAATATGAGATTTGACTAACTTTTTGGGTAAAAGAATACTGAGTAATTTATGGTCTATATTAATCTTAATTACAAAGATTATTACTATCTCATTGCTATTGCACTTTAGAAATATAAATAATTAAAATAGATGTCCTATCCTACTAAATATGTATATTCTATCAGATATCCACTAAGGGATCTCAAGAAATTAAATATTGTATCTCTAAATGTATACACAATTTTACCTCCATATTCTGAGACATTTTATTTATATATATTTCATGCCCTACAAGACACTACGAAGTATTTAAAAAAGAATCCATTCCTAGCACCAATTTTTAAAAAGAAAAGAAAATAATAAAGAAAATAATCATAATTTATTATGAGAATGTTAAAAAAAAGAATCCATTTAAAAATTAAATATTATAAGTAGAATAAAAATATATATTTTCAAGTATTCCTCCAACTACTTCTCTTCCAAAAATTATTGAGTATGCAAAGAAAAGTCAATAGAATAATGTAGGCACAGATTGCTACAATATTGTAATCTTTGTGACGGACATCAAAATCTTTTATTTAATTTTGTCCACGAAATTACATCACTGTCTTCAAATCAAAACAACTCTAGAATCCTTTTGAGTGAACCGGCATTAACTGTGTTGCTATCTTAGCCAACTAAAGAATTAATCACATCCTTACCCTCAAATTAGCACACAAATCTAGTACCGATCATCAAGACAAAAAATGGACCTTTTCTTAAAGCTTTATTCATTTAGGTGCGCTTATTCTTTTCACTCGATTTTATTTATTTATTTTTATTTATTTTTTTTTTATTGAGGATCAAAGATGGAAGTATAGTGCAATGTATTAATCTATTAAGCTTTCTAACGATTTATAAGGTCGAGCGTCAGGTCAATAACTCCCAAACCAGACGGCTTTAGGGCATTAGGCATTTAAATACCCCTACAGACTTACAAGCTCAAATCAACTAGGCTACAAATCAAGACAACAACTATCTAATCATTTCCCACTTCTCACCTTTTGGGAGAAGTCCTCACTTTTTTATAGCTTTTGCTTTTGCTTTTGCTTTTGTTTTTTTTTGGAAGCAAGTTCAATTATTAACCTAGAGTTTGAGCCCTCCACCTTTCGGCGGGAGAAGTTCAGTGCTTGATGGGGCTAGAATCCCGGTTACTTAGTGAAAAAGGATTGTTATCCACCTTTATCAAGAATGAAAGCTTTCAATACACTACTAGCTTAATTGGGATATAACCAATTCAATAATTGACAAAGCATGTACCCCACAAATGAATGCTAGTGTGCGCCGGTGCTAGTGTAGAAGACTAGAGTGAATCTCAAAATAATCACAAAATCAAGATGATATAGACCACAAGTGCAAGCATGATATCAATTTTTTCAAAAATTTACTCTTAAATAGCATTCATAAGGCATACAAGGAGTATTGGACTCTCAAGTCAAGCAATTTTTAAATTTTAAGCAATATAGTCCTCAAAAGATCAAAATTATAGCTAGATATAGACCAATCATAGAAATATCCCACAAATACACAAGTCATGATCAAAATTTTGAATTTAAAACTAACATTGTAAAGCACCAGTCCCCCCAAACTTAAATGGCACAATGTCCTCAATGTGCAAAGAGAACAAAGGAAAGAGTATACTAGTGCAACTAAGCAAGAATGATCCGGACTGAAGTATCCGAAGTGGGTGGCATTGCCCCCCCAAACTTGGGATGAATTGTGGTCCTGAAAATTGGCACTTGGATAAACTTATCAGATAACAAAATAGGATAATCAATGCACAGTGGACATGCAAGTGTAAATGGGATAAATAGATAAAGAAATGAGAAATGTATAAGGGTGGTTCTGGAAATTCGGTAGCACTCTCTCACTGAAGTCACTGTAATGCACCTGATGGAGTCAAACATACAGATTTGAGAATACAATTAAATGACATCCATAGCAAAAATAGATATATATAAAACGGATAAAGTGCAGGTACAACAAAAATATCAAAGCCGACAGACCGGCTATAAAAATAATACAGTGACAATAGTAAAGTACCAAAAGGAGAGAGGGATCATAAGATAGAAAAGACTGGGAGCTCAGGAGGATGAGGTAGGACGGGCAGGTCTGGCTTCGCAGATGTCTCTGGATAAATCTCTGAACATGGTCGCGACATCCGTGCGGAAGGCAGCAAAATTAGCTCTGTGGGCTGTGAGGTCAGCTCGGATGGAAACAACATCATCCTTAAGCATCTACAGACGTACTCCAAAGCTGGGGGTTATATCTGGAGTCTCAGGCATAGATGAATCAGAAGAAGCTCCTGAGTCTGCTCTTGCTTATAAATGGGCGACCGGGCTAGAGAGTCCTGCTCTGCATCGTCTGCAGGGCGCTCTAAGTCTATGTCTAAGTGCTCGGCAGCTGGATCGACTGGTGCGTCGTCCGCTGCGGGATGTGTTGCTATTACCTCTGTCGGTGCCTCTGCTTGGGCCTGTGCCTCCTCCAACTCCAACTCCGCTGCAGCCAGTACCGCGTGGTCCTGAAGCCTGGTAATAAGGGAGCGGTAGGTCTTGTTCTAGTCCTTCTTGAGGTTATGACAGGAACCTCTCTCGGGGTGCTCCCGAGGATGGATGGGGTAGCGCTGGTGGATGAGGATCTGGGTGATGAGGTGGCTGAAAGGAAGAGACTTAGCCCGTCCGGGCGTTTCCTTGCTGATGTACTTGTCATACAACTTCCTCATCACACTCCAGATGAGCGCGGGAATGGACATCCAGTGCCTGGTGTAGAAAGAGTAAAGGGCTGTCAGATAATCGCCCCTCCTCTGAATCTTGTGCCCCGCCATGTATATGTTCCGGTAAAGAATGGAATCGGTAAACCATAAGTCGTCAGGAAGGAATGTCAGGGTGGCGAAGGTCTCGCCACTAGCATGGTGACCCATAAGAAAAACCGCCATGTCAGCATATGAAGGCCTGAATAGCCTCGAATATGTGTCCTGAAGCTCTGGGGGACATCTGTGTGGACAACGGTAAGAGCGGGCTAAAGTGTCCACTGTAATGGTGATCGGATGGCCATCGATAGAAGTGACCATCTCAGCTGTGGTACGCGGTGATGGTCGAAGGTTCTGGTAAAACAACCGAACCCGCCGTGGGTAGACCGGCTCTGTAACGGGGGCAAGAATAGCGACTAGGCCTCACTGAATAATATCCTGGTAGGTGGATCGGGTCAGCACAGATCGAGAGAAGAAGGCCGTGTCAAACTCGAACTCATGGTCTAGTGTTATGTGCGCATATCGAGGCATGGGCCTATCATGCTGCAGATAAGCTTGCTAAGCTAGCTGAGGTGGTATATGTGAATGTTCAGCTCCAGTCTGCGGTGGAGATGGTGATCGAGTGAAAGCAGGATGAGCCGCAGAAGTGGATGGTATGTGGTCATCCTCAGGCTCATGAGATGGTGACTGAGGCGGGGTAGCCTGTGCTGGCTCCCGCTGTGCATAAGAGGGCTCTGCTGGCTCCTCTGTCCGTGGCCTAGTGTGTCGGGTGGGCCCGTGTTGCCTGTTGGCAACGGTCTTCCTTTTTGCCATGGCCTGCAAAAAGAAAAAGAAAAACTTGCTACGGGAGTTAGTGCTGGAATAAGAAATTTTAAAGCACGAAATAGAATCATGTTTGTCAAATAAGATAGACAAAACAAATATGACATGAATCTATGCAAGTGGTAGAATATGAAACATGTTAAACAATGTAAGTATGAAATGCATCCAATGTGGAATATCACAAGCATTAGGCATATATGAGATAGCATGAACATAAGATATGATGAATGAAGTGTGTGTGTGAGATCTGTGAAGTTCGATTGATCATAAAAAGAAGTGAGATCGATCACAAAAGTTGGATCGATCAAAAGTAAGTGAGATCGATCTCACTACTTCGATCGATCGAAGACATGAGTTCGATCGATCTCTAAAGATCGATCGGAGATACTAGTTCGATCGATCGAACTGTGCGACGAGGAAAACTCAAAGATCACAGATCTGTGACCTTGGAAGCATGGGACCCACACGAACATGTTCGTAGGCCCATCAACACAACAAATCATCCAATCCCATCACAAATCGAGGCCCATACTCCCAAATCGAATCAAATCATCAAAAATATATACACATATATACACATATATATACATATATATACAAATGCTTCAAGCTTCAACAATGGAGGATTTTGTCATGTATATAGCATGTATTCAACATATAAAGCATGTATGCACAAGATTGAAGCTTAAATCATGAGGGACATTCTCGGATCTTACCTCAAACAATGAGAGAAGTGGAGATGTGGAAGAGTGGAGATGTATCCGAGAAGGAAGAGAGAGATTGATGCTTAGATGCTCGCCGGAAAGCTTCGCCGGAGACGGTGAAGTGGTTGGACAATGACGGTGACGAAGAGAGGTTAAGGTTTTGAGGATGAGGGTGAGTTAGATTGATCTTTGTAATCGATCTTGCAAACCCTCAGTTCTATTTTTAATAACATTCCCGAGAGAGTTCGATCAATCGAACTCAACTGTGATCGATCGAACTTTGATGAACTCTCTTCAAGGTTTTTTTTTCTTTGAAAATTGCAAAGTGAAAATTAAAAATTGGGATTAAAATTAAAAATTGGAAAATAAAATAAAACATTTTTGGTTTTTTTTTTTTTATTTTTAAATTAAATTGAATAAACACTAATAATTAAAAATTAATTAAAATAGAATTTTTTTGAATTTTTTTTTTTGAAAAAAACTTTTTGAAAAATAAAATAAAATAAAATAAAATGAAATATAAATGCAAATGTTTTTGGATTTTTGAAAATTTGAAAAGTTAAAACAAAGTCAAAATAATGAAATGAAGATTGAGATCGATCGAAACAATAGTTCGATCGATCAGACAGAGCAAAAATATGCAGGTTTTTGGCTTAGAAAATT